GGATTATACACTAGCATAGGGACAAAGTCGGGGGCATCATTCTGACTATGTAGAAATTGAGTTGTAACCTGTGTGTAGTATGGCGTGGGTGCCTCACGAAATATCGCCTCGTCGTCGTTATCATCAGTATCTTCCTCCTCGCTCACTGATCTCAAATCTTCCTCAGTATCATCATCGCTCGAGTCGAATGGATAGCTCGCCCCAGAAAGATCAACATGACCACCATCACCAGCATCGTCTTCTCGCTCATGTGAAGTACGCCCTGCTCGAAGGGTATTCTCGATTTCAGCCCACTCAGGCCCCCAAGCAGGCCATTGAACGCCATCGACAAGTTGATCCTGTTGCGAGTATTGTTCCGATGGCACCCATCCTGCACTACTACCTTCACCGTAGTTTATTGAACCACCACCCTCTCCGTAACCTCCTGTATAACCACCTCCTTCGTAGTTGCTCGAACTACCACCCCATCCGTACCCTCCTGCAAAACCATCATCATAAGAATACTGGTGAGAATGAGTTTCACCGACCGCCTCGGTCTCAACATACACCTCCGCTTTCCGCATGTCATTATTGCTTAGGAACTGTAACATCATCGTAACCCCATCGTCATCGTTTATGACAACTGCTTGGTACAGAAGCCTGCCAGTACTCATACATGGATACCGGTAAGTAATTTTACCAAGTCTCGTCTGTCCGCTCGTACAAACCCTGTCTGCACAAATATCACAGAGTTCCTGAAAATTGAATCGCGACTCAATTTTTAGCTTAGTGGATACACCGTCCTCATAATCAATCCCTATGTCAGAGTTTGTAACCCTTCCATTCCACCGAATAATAAGCAGAAACTTCTTGAATTTACCCATATCTACAATTTACAATAAGTAACTATTAGCATAATTCCAGTAATTCATAACATCGGCCATATTTGCTACGATAAGTAATTCATAACATAACAATATAACTACTAAAAACAAACATTAGCAATTAATATGAAAATTAAATCATACCGAAAATTTCTGTTCTGTGTATGATGCTCGGTTTTGGCTGCTGCAATTTGAAGAGGGGGGAGGGATTATTTTCTTAGAACTGCAGGTGGGATGTGTTTTTATGGGAAAATCGGCCACAATTCACCGCCTTTGTCTCCCACGGTGAACGACATCACCGCCTTTGTGTAAAACGGTGAACATTAGGTAGTTGTGACCTAATTTTCACCTCCCAGGTTCGGGAAACGTGGGAAATAATCACCGCCTTTGCCTGAGGCGGTGAATATGTTCCCCGCTATTTCACCGCTTTTGATAGAAACGGTGACGTATTCACCGTTCCTGTTTAATGCGGTGAATACTTAACCGTTTTTGTTCAACGCGGTGAAGTATTCACCGCTTTCAACAAAAACGGTGAATACGTCACCGTTTCTCTTTATAACGGTGAATGTTTCACCGTTTTTATCAAACGCGGTGATTTTATTCACTGCGTTTGTCAAAAACGGTGATGCTCAAACTTGTGTAGTTTTGGAATTTTTTTTATAACTTATGTATTTTGAGAATTTTTTTTAGGGCTAATACCACTGGGAAACCCGAACTATTAACTTTGTGTCATTTGTGTCCTAAAGTATTCGATACGACATTTGTGTCCCAACCTATTATAGTTTTGTGTCATTTATGTCCTGACGATTTTGTTGACCGTTATATATAACGGTTGACCAGACGGTGGTCAACTTGATGTTGACTTTTGCTGATGTGGCAAACACGTGGCAGCCACGTAGATGCCACATCATTGACACCTCATATTTGTAATTAAAATTTAAATAAAAATAAAATGGAGAAATTAAAAAATTAAAAATTAAAAAACTTCTCACTATCATCTCTACCGATTAGCCTTTCTCTCTTCTAACGTTGTCGTCTCCGCGCAAATCGCCCAAATCCAAATCCAAATCACAAATGTCCACCACCGCCTTTCACCACACAATTTCCGGCCGCCGATTCTCCAACCAAATCACTCGACCTCCACTTCCAATCAAAGTCCCACCCCATTGAGAAAACCCTTCACCGTTCTCACATCGATTGGAACAACGTGGCGAGGCCTACTTCCAATCGAAGTCCTACCCATATTTCTATCTCTCTCTCTTACTAGATTTTGCGGTGACAGAGAAGGGAAGAATGGTCGATGGCGAGAGGGAGGGAGGGAGGGAGGGTGCGATAGTCCCTTGAGGATTTGGGCGAATCTGTTTTGGAGAGGGGAAGCGACAGCCATTACTGGGAAGCCAACTGCGAGGGGAAGAAGAAGACATCGTCGACCATTGCTTGAAGCGGGCAAGACAACGGCGGCTCGGAGCATGATTTGGGGATTTTCTCTGGCAGAGCTCCCAATCTCCGGCTACCTCGTTCCAATCGACGTCGTCTTCTCTGGCAGAGCTCCCAGCTCCAATCGATATCTTCTCCAACGACGTTTCCAACTCCAGATGTCGTGTGTACCAGTTGCCGACAAGGAAGCGGATGGAAGCTTGAACCCATACCAAATCGTCGATGGAAACCTATATAGCCAAAACCATCTCTGACTCTGCCGTATTTGAATTGCTTTTCATCGTTGGGTTTCATTAGATCTGGGTTTCTGGGTTTCCTTGGATCTGGGTTTCTGCGACCACTTTCAGAGCTTGAGGATTGGGTTTCAGGGAGGATTTTTCAGACTGGATATAGACGGCGGCGGAAATAAGGAAGAGAGGAGACGAAGAAGCAGCGGACGGGAGGAGAAGGGGACGAGAGAGTTGTAATTTTTTTGTTTTTTATTTTTGTATTTAAAAATTTTATTATATGGAAAAAAATATTAAAATTAACATTAAATTTCCACATCAGATGCCACATCAGCGCTGACTAGGCTTTCTGTTAAAAACTAACGGTCAACGCTAGTCAACTCTAACGGAAAAATAGTTTAGGACACAAATGTCGTATCGAATACTTTAGGACACAAATGACACAAAGTTAATAGTTCGGGTTTCCTAGTGGTATTAGCCCTTTTTTTTAACAACTAGTGTACTTTGGGATTTTTTCCTAGAATTTGGGATATACCGAATACCGTATCGAATTTGTTTGTATTTGGTATTATCGAATACACGTATTATTTTTTGGGATTGAATTTCAATTGTTATTGGGTATTAGGGATTACGAGATTGAGATCAGTATATACCGATCAATACCGAAATATAAGCTAGTGTGTATTTTAGCCTCTCAACTAGACTCTCTCATTCACTACTACATGACCCTCAACCACCAAGAGTGCCATTTAATTATACACAGATCATTCCATCACTATTAATAGTTGTCTCTCAACGTCCAGTTCGTCAAATTAAAGTTTACCAATGACAAGAACATGAGATGTCTTCTCTCCTCCATTCTCCTTAATAATATCTTAATTCAAAACTCTTTGCTTAGTCCTTTTGCCCTAAATTAAACAATAAAATCTAATTTATATATTTAATTATTAATTGCAAAAGGTAATTAATTTTGTATTCGATAATACCGATTGGGATACCGAAATATTTAGAGATTGGGATCGGGATACCAAAATTATTTAGGGATTGTGATTGAGATTGACTTTAGGGTGTAATTCGATATTCGGGATTTCGGTATTTGGTATTGGGATACCAATACCATATATATTTCCACCCCTACATGTGGCCATGTCACAACTCGGATCTCGTAAACGGGTATGGTCCGACTGATCGTGATTTATAATTCAAATCAAAATACATAAGACACACGAAACAACTAGTGATATGAAAATCCTTCTAGATTTTATATAAAGTTTTAAAAAGTTAGACTCTATAATGCAAGGTAAAAATATAAAGGTACTAATACGTAATTATACACCAAATTTTCTGAACCTATTTGTAAGATTAGGTACTATATTACAAGAAAAAAATATTTTTTGATACCAAAAAGTGATTTTCAAAAAATTATTGTGTAAATTTGATCCGACCCACTGACCTCATCCGCCCCGACTCGCCTCGACTCTAGAGGATCAGATAGGCTCAAAAAGGAAATAGAAGTGGGACGAGTCAATTATATATGTTGACCCTTCAAAGATTTATTTGAAAATTCAAATATCAATAGGGAACAAAATATTATTATATGTTAGGAGTTTATATTGGACGACAAAACGTATCAATGGTGTCTCTTTAGTATATATCTAAACTAAACAAAATCTTATTTTCTCATCTCAGAATCTCTTGTCGTCCATCCGTCAATCCGAAGTGGAGTTGCTGAAAAAGGAGAGCATTCTACACTCAAACTCAAGTAATGTATCTAATAGTTTTTATGGGCAAGCTCAATAAGGGGAGATAATGAGGATTCTGGGCTAGTGGGTTTCTACTACGTGTAAATAAGTAACCACTCAACCTTCATGTTCATCAAAGTTGAAAGAAATTTAAGAAGGCTTCTTGTACGAATTTTCGTCTCTGAATTTGAGAATAGTTCCTATCTCTAAACTTGGAAATCAATTTCATTTTTTGAAAACTTGGAAATGGTTATCGCTTCTGAAGTCGGAGATGGCTTCTCTTATCTTATCAGCGGCATCGGGTAGCACAAAGAGATATTTATTGTCCAAAACATGAATGATTAACTTCTTCGATGGGGGATGCTAAAGCATTCATGTTGACGATGAATTGTGCCATTAGCACATCACTGTGAAAATGCCAAAACAACGAGATTAGAAAGAACAAAAAAGAGAACAGTCATTGAACACTCTTTCAGTGACATTCCCCATCATCTTCAACAGAGCAACGACAGCAACCTCAAGAGTCAGAAGCAATATGCTACTACACTAACCGGTACAGTGCTCCGCCGCCTTCCTTTGGCGTTTGAAACAAGAGAAGAAGGTGAGATAAAAAAAAACCGTTTGATCGCCGACTACGCTTGGGCAACGCCAATAGCCAAAGCTAAACTCGCTAACGATGAGAAGGAAGGAGTACGCTGCGGCCCGCGGGGAATTAGTAGCAAGTAGGAAGCAAGGGTAGTCGTGCATTTATAGGGCAAAGTTTACCGTTTATAAGGAGGATAAGTGGATAGCAAAGGTAGTCGGCCAACTGGCAAATTCCTTGGCGAGCACGGAATGTCAACCAACTTCCTTAGCTAGACGCCTTTATAAATATAACTCACCGTTTCTAGGCAAGACATGGAGCTCTGTAAAAAAGAGCATAAAACATAAAACCAAGTGAAATTGTAAATGGAGGGCGAGGAAGGAAAAGAACATACATCAAAGAGAAAAAAAAAATACATCTAATCTAAAGACGAAAGTCAATAGTTGTATGATGTCTACAAAGAAATCTATAATTGCTAAAACAACGAAGATGAAATAAGTTCTTCGTCCTGGAATTTCCACATTGTATCATCAGTTACACAAACCCCATGTTTCTTCTAGCGCCGCTCAATTCAAGGCGGCAGATTTATGTACCGTGTACCTCCACTGAACATTACGATCGAGGAGCGCAGCTATGCAACTTAATCCATGTCGTGATCTTCCAATGCAGTCAAGATCATCCTACAGTTTGCAGGAAAGTCAGAGCGGAGTCAATCTCAAATTGAGTTTTCAACAAGTAATGGTATCTGAAAGTAAAGAGTCGAGCAACATCGACTTACCAGAATATTGCAAGGAAAAGGAGAACAATAAGATAAAATAATTTATAAAGCCGCTGCTTCTTTTCCGCGTGGAGCTGGTTGAAGATCTCAGTAACATCGATCAGATGCTTTTGTCTTGTGTAACTAATCAATCACAGGAAACACATGCAAGTAAGCAAAAACCCGGTCTGAATTAGTGGTTGCAGGAAGATAAAAGATGCCATTCTGCAGGAGGATTGCATGGTGGTTTTCTCATAGTTGATGGTGCTGCATATGCAGCCATTTTTACGGTAAGAGACTATGATCCAACTACTCGGTATAATTATCTAGTAGACCGTATCCTTAGGCATCGCGCAAATGAGAACAAGCAGCGCAAAATGAACAGCGCCAGAACTATAATCAGCAAGCTGGATGTAAAAAACCTAAAAGTTCCCTTTCCTAAAGACACCATATAGTGGAATGAGAACTTGCCGTACTCCACCACAAATTATAAATGAGCTTATTAGGCTCCCCATTTCATTATTCAGCTGAATCAACAAGGATTGAGATGCTTGAAGGGCTAAAGGAGCAAAAGAACGATATAGACGATCCACCTAATAACAGATTAGACATGTTTACCCTTGCAGCCAATAGTTTGTAGAAAAAGAAAACGCAACATAGACCATAAAGCAATTCCAGTTTTGTAGCACCAAAATACTTATTTTCTAGATCGGAGAGGTAACATCTATTAGGAGGTTAGTGGAAAGTTATAAAATCGAAGAGCCTGACATTCGAAAGAAATATGGCTTCATAGTGCAAGTACCAGCATTAAAATTGGTTCTCATAATCGCAAACTAGAGGCCCCAGCAAGATTCATGTTCGCAAAGCCTTGTTGGTGTATTCCCAAATTTAAGAGAAAACGTTTCAGGCTGAAGATTTATTTGTTCTAGCTAGCATATCAAAGGGGCACAAAGCAAACAACTGGTTGGTGATCTGATTACTATTCAACAATGAAATTATCAGGCTTGTTCTAGATTGGATATCAACTGTTAACTTCAATGCAGCTACTCTCAATCAAATCACTCCGTGCATGCACATGTTCCTATGAGTGAATGCTCAAATAAATAAATAAATCATGCAAGGCGCAGGGGATAGTACAACCTACCAGTGTTCAAGAAGACGCGATTAATCTCTCGCCTAGGCGCGATTAATAGTTGGGCAGGACAAAATTGCCCCGTCTAGCCCTGGGCGATTGATCTAGGCACCTAGGCACTCGGAGGCGCGTTTTCACTCTGGTGGGCGACGCCCATAACAACTAATAAAGGGGGAAAGTGTAGCCGTTTTTTGAAAATCCCAAACCCTATTCTATTTCCCATTTCCATTCGACCAGCCGCTCCCCCTCATCGACCAGCAGTGAGATCCCTCCTCATTGTTGGCGACTTGGGATGTTTGAGATTGTGGAAAAGGGTTGTATGTGAATATGAATGGATGAATAATGATATGGCAATTTGGGTTTTTGTGGAATATGGCTTATCTATCGTATTTTTTTGCAACGTTTAATCTCGCCTAGGCAACGATTAATCGGCCTGGGCGCTGGGCGGTGCCTCCTCGCCTAGATAGCGCCTAGCTTCTTCTGGAACATTGCAACCTACAAAACTGGCTAACATAGAAGAGTAAAAGTGAACTTACAGCCTGACATTGTAGTAGAGGTAAGGAGCACAGATGAGTGACATACACCAATGCCCTGTCACTAGGTAAAATAAGCACAAAGCTGCCTCTGTAATATACTCGGGCATAATCGCTTTGTTTATCCTTGAAGAAGAGTCATAAGGATTGATGTAATCGAGCTCCAAATCTGCCAAGCACATAAGCTGCCAAAACAAGTTTACAGTATGTCAGAATTTCATATCACACCAATAATATAAGCTGCAAATTCCAATCTCCAACCAAGTACTTGCATGTAATTGGACCAAGAAGCTTTCATCTTTCAGCAACAACTAAACATATCAACCTCCTCCCAATATATCTTAAATAGCACTAAACGACTTTCTAACAACGAGCTCCTCACTGAATGTGTTTATCAGAGGGAAACCGCACATGACATTGCCATACACAACGCATAATACAAAGTTCAAATTTTTTGCATCATGATCAAAACCTTACAAGCAAGCTATGAACCCAATAGACTAAAAGTGTTCACAGGAGCAGGCCATTAACTACCAACAACAAGAACTGGGGTCAAACAAAGATTAAAGCTTTCCCGATACGGGAAGGAACCCACAAGCTCTGAAGAATCATTAGTGTGGGCTATGAAATTAACCATCGAGTTCACTTTCAATTGAATAAACTAAAAAGTGTGGGCTATAAAATTAACCAACGAGTTCACTTTCAATTGAATAAACTAAAAGAGGGCTGAAGTGGATTAGCGAAGAGAGGAACAAATTGACCCATCTATGGGGGGAAATTGAGAATTTAGGCCAAGGAGTTAGCGAAATGGCGGGCAGAAGTTCAACAATCAATCCAATAAATTTAAAGGAAGAAGCCAAGGGGTTTAAGGAGGGGATTGACCTGGAAGACGATGATGACCAGTAGGGCTATAAGGAGGAAGAAGGAGATTAGCCATACGTATAGATCTCCCATTCTCCTTCCCCTACTCTAATGTATTCTTCCCTCCCTGTTCTTTGCCTGTTCGCTCGATCGAGGATCTTTGTCCAGAGTTCTCTGACGACGATATGCACGATAAGCTTTGGTGGTGAGGATTTGGTGCGTATTGCTGCCCGGTAGTAATCCTCGATCTTCTCAGTACCAACCGGACTCAAGGACCAACACTGTTTGATTTTATTTTATTTTACTCCTTTTTGGTTTTTTTTTTCTTTTTAGAAAACAGACGCCAATGGCGCCTAACTCATATTAGGAACTAGCATTGGGCTTGGCCCGTTGGCCGGTATTCTTTACACCCAGTATATGATTTTTGTTTTGTTCTATTGATTATGGAATGCAATAAATATCAACGACATTATACATCAAGCAAAGTCAAAAGTCCCAATTACATGATGAATACAATGGAATCTATTTATAGGATTAAATTGTAATGGTTAGCTGCTGCTATTATGATAATGGGTTAATAACATTTTGTACCCCTCTATTATCGTAAATTAACAAATGTACTCATCTACTAAATTTTTGCACAAACATGCCATTCTAATATTAAAATGAGAATTTACCCTTCTGACAAATTATTCGTTAAGTGGCCGTTAAAGTGGCTAGAAAATTACCCAATTGCCCTCATTTACTCCTAATTTAATTTTAATTATTTTAGATATTATTTATTTGTGTCCCAAACAATTAATTAAAAGAACAAACCCTAAACAATTCACGCGCAGTCACAAAAATTCTTCCGTCTGCTTGTTCTCCCCTGGCATCGTCGATCGACTCGGTGGCGATGTTCACGGCTTATCTTTGCCGGCGGTCACAAGAAACCGTTCGACCCGCCATTTGCATCACCTCCCGCCATCCCGCACTCGGATCTCGTGATCCCGTACTCTACCACTTCGCCGACAGTTTCAATTCCGAATAGGGGAAGTTGAATTTCAGGTCGATGAATCCCGAGTCGTCGACGGCGGTGGTGAAATTGCCTTCACGGAGCGAAAAAAAACCCCAGGATCGAATAATCCCTCTTCTTATTCTCGACGTCGTCGAACCCGCTGTGGCGGCGACTTGTTGGAATTCGAACGCATTAAAGTGTTGGAAGGATATGATTGAGCATCGTTCTCGATCAGGAAGGAGACGCGACCGACGCTGTCGACTTCCAGATTGGACTTGCTCTTGCTGGAATGGGAGGCGCGATTGGGGCAAATTTCACAGTAGGAGCAGGAAGAGATTTCGCTGCAATCGAGTAGACCAAAGTGAGGAGGCATTCTTGGAGGCAGTGGGGGCAGATTCTAACGGGAGGGGAAGAAGAAGGTGCCGCTTGCACTTTACAGGGGAGGTAAGAAGAAGAAGAGTCGTGGAAGAACTATTGTTGTTGGTTTTACATAAATAAATTATAGATAAAACAATTAAAACTAAATTAGGAATAAAGGAGGGCAATTGGGTAACTTTTTAGTCACTTTAACGGCCACTTAACAGATAATTTGACGGAAGGGTAAATTTGTTACGTTTTAATATTAAAAGGGTATGTTTGTGCGAAAATTTAGTAGAGGGGTACGTTTGTTAATTTACGATAATAAAGGGGTACAAAATGCTATTAACCCTATGATAATATATTGCACTATATATAAGAACACCCCGTTTGCAACATTGTGGTTGCTATAACACGACATCTGGACTTCTTTATTTCAAAATTGATAACTAAATTGAATATCTCTTTATTTGAGACATAGATATTAGGTTAGATGAATAAAGTTATTGATGTTTCTAACCCTTCAACTCTCTATTCACATCACATAATATCATATCTTCCCTCCCAACTAAGAAGCTAAATCAACAGAAAATGCAACTAAAACTGCAATCTAGAAATGCCATATATTCAGTAAGGAAATAAACAATACACAAATTGGGAAGGAATACAGAAGTAAACATTGAATATGAGAGTATGGTCAATGATCATTAAGCTAGGGAAAGCTCAATCGAGACCAGGAACACCAAGACTTACCAATTCCAATAAGCAAAGCAAAGAATCACTTCAGAACTATAAAATTTCAAACTAACAATTTTCAGAAGTTGAATAAAAATATCCACACCTACCTTCTCTTCCAAATCTACTGCTGCAACTCTTGGAGCTATATTGGCATCTTCTTTATGATTGTTTAATGATCCACCAACTCACTAACCAATCTAAAACAACAAATAAACCCGTAAATCTATTTGAACAGAATTCATGAATCCACTGAAGCACGAACCCAACTCACGGACCTAAGTTATTTTCCTTGCAATATAGGAACACATAGCTTCCAAACGGTTTCCCTCCTGTCATCCATCAAATGTGATTCCTCTGCTACCAAATCAGCCTTGATTTTATCACTCATTCCAAACTTCTTATTTTTCTCAGAAATGGTTCTTTCCTCAATCAACCATACCACATATACTACCTTTAGTCCTGCCCTTACCAATGCTCTCTTTCTATGTTGTTGTGAAACTTGTATACCATGTAAGTTGGTTTATCTCAACAGGTTAGAAGATCCAAAGTCTCTAAATTTCAGTCGAATGAATAGGAAATGATTCATGTTGCAAACCAACCTCATCATAACTGCAAGTTGACAGCAAGCCAAGAATTCTCAGTACCGACACAAATTTATAGCTACTGCAACAATGAAGTGAACTAATGGTGACATATGTTTTTGCTTCTACCAAATTACAAATGGAGGAGCAGCTGCTGCGTTAATGGAATGATGAAGAAAACAAATAACAAAAAGAGAGATGGTTGGAACAAAGAACCTTTCCTTTAGGAGTTTCAGATATGTACTTTAAGGCTTCATTGAACTTTCACCCAGCTACTAACTGTGATGTGTTCAAATCGTCAGACAATTTATCATTGAACTCTTGTTGGAGCTTAGTGGTGCAAGTTTGTGCCTCACCAGTAAGCTTAGCAGTCTTGTTGCCACTCTTAGCTAAGCCTGTTTGAAATGGTGACAAAGCAACCTCACAGTCTTGCAATCTATGTTATCATCAATGACCACAAATAGCATAAAAATTTATCTCCCATCACTAACAAGAGGAACTAAAGATCTTCAAAAGATAATAATACCTAATAAATGAACCAAGAAGTCTTAGAAGCTTGCTCGAGCTGGAGAATTTTTTGTTTGAGGTGGTGTTATTCAAACTTTTAACTTTCATTTTGATTTCTCTTGCTTGGTTAGTGACAGTGTCATGACAGACTAAGAAAAAAGGACTAATTAATGAGTCTGCAGGGTCATACAATAGGGGAATATGGGACTGTGAAGGGGAATGATTTCGGTAGGATGTTGAGGTATGACTTGGTGGCAAGGATGTAGCAGACAACCCATGTTGGTAGTTCGGCCTCTGGTATGAACAATACGTGGGGAGGATTATGCTTAAGAAGGTGAAGGTTTAGAATGTGTTCAACATTTCCATTGGGAGGGTTATGCAGAAGAGGGTGGAGCAGTAGAATGGCAGGATCAATTTCCTCAATAAGAAGAAGAGGAGGATCAAGTTGCACTTCTTCCAAACACTATTCTGCAAAAATGGAGATTAAAAGGGTGCATAACATACAATCTATGTTCTAGAAGGAGTGAAATAAGAGGAGGACAACAATTGCAGTTCAAAAGGATGGTATTTTACCCCTTGCAGGAAGTTGTAACTGTCTAAGTAATCACCCAAACTTAGAGTAAAAACCTTTTCTTGTATGCGTGTAAAGCTAAGCTATATAGGATCTAAGGGTGATGAATAATGCGATGGAACCTGTCATGTAACAGAAAATATGCCAGAGTTTTGTTGTATGAAGAATTCCCTGCTCCTTAAAGTCGAAAATCCACAAAAAGTCCTAAACTGACTCAAACTCGAGCTGTTGGTGTAAATAACAAAGACTAATTAAAGCTACCGACATGATAAACACAAAGGCACTAAGCTGCTGCTGTCATAAACACAAAAATCCATGCTATTTTCGACTTCAAATTATGTCTTTAGAGTAGTGAAAAATCCAAAACTATGTACAATCTAAAACTCTAGAATTATCTACACTGAACTCTAGCCTTCAATTTGACTATATTGATAGTAACCTTTGGAGCACAAGTAGCACAAACTACAAACTGCAATATGTTATTTATATAATCAATGGATTTGGTATAAGACTCAATTGGAAGAGAGTAGCGAAATTTTTCGAAAATAAACAATTAAGTCAGCTTTGGCATAGTTGACATCAGAGTTGCCAGAATTTGAAGGGGAGAATGAGTCTTGGTAGGAATTATGGAACCCGCTTGTTATTCCCCATCAAACCCCGACCCACAATTTCTTGATGGTCTGTAAATCCCTTTGAAACAAACTTAGAAACCTGCGAATCGGATTAGAAAGGGATAGAGATGAAATTACTTTGGGAGCAGTATTGAGGGTCGGGCGTGGATGGCGTTACCTGCGGGGGCAAGGGCCACCATGAGCTTTCTGGGAGTGTTGGTAGACAGTTGGTCAGAGTGAGAAGGGGATTGAGTGACAACAATGACTTGCTTGCTCGACGGTGAGGTTTGAAACAGGATTTCGAGGGCAGCGCTTGGGGAGAAGAATTGCAAGATTAGCGTTGATTTGTCCGGGCTGAAAGACAGCAAGAGAGAAGAGAAGAATAGTGCGAGACAGGGCAGATCCTCCGAAGTGTGCGGCGAGAGAGAGGTTCGTAGGTAGGATATTGGAAGAGAGAGAGAGCGATGAAGAGATGGATTCAGGATTTACACAAAAGACCCTCCGCACTATGCGGCCATTTCAGTAGAGGCTCACGTGGCAAATGCTGTTTTTTGACATTGCGTTATAGTATTTTGTAGATATCATGATCCATGGTTGTCTCCATGGTATAGTAGGACAGCCAATACAAAGGTTTGGGTCGCACTCATCGAATAGATGTGTGCCAAAAGGAAACAAATGACCCCTATTAGCCAAAAAAATTGGCTGCACAATTGCTTTCTCTATAGACATGTGAGATCCTAACATCCCACTCTCTATCCAAAATGCTATCCGAATGCTTAACTAACAAGCCATAAGTATGGTTGGTATCCTTCGTGTTTTTGATGAGAGCCACTGCAGTAGAGGAATCCAGGTTCAGTTCTACCTTCCTGTACCCCTTCTACCAGGCAAGATCGAGCCCTTCAGCCGCTCCCT